GAAATGGTATTATTATTAGTAATACTATTATTAAAATTATTATTATATATAATTTGATGATATGAAAAACATTTTTATTTAAGATACAATATTGAAAATGAATAGATTGTATATTATTATTGTTTTTTTTAAGGTTGGAAGGGTTGTGGAGAAGGTTGGGTATTAGGTTTAAGATTTTATTGGAGGTATTGGGAGGATTGATTAATTGGGTGTAAATAAATTTATAATAAAATATTTTGAATTATATATATTAATGGATATTGGAGGTATAATTTAACGAATATTAGGATTTAATGATATTATTATAATAGTTATTTATATAGAAATAATTTAATTATTGTAATAGATTAATGAAAATATTTTAAATATGGTTATGATTATTATTAATTATATTTTGTATAAAATAGTATAATTTCGGAATTGTATGTTTTGTGTATTGCCGAATTGTTATAATAGTGGTTTGATCACAAATTATGATGTTTGGGATGAATGATTATGTTTGTTTTAATATTTTTGTTGTGGTATAAATTTGGAATTTGTTGAAATTTGGAGTTTTATTGAGAATTTGTATAGTAGTTAGATGTTGTTGATAATTCGGTTCATGGATTGAACGATATATTTTTTTAAATAAAATTATGTTTTTTGAAAATTCTGGATATATATTCGATTTTATATATATATATATTGATTTTAATTTATTATTTTTTAGATTAGCTTAGATAAGACGCTTACGATGTTTTTGTTTCGCGGTAGTTAAATGAAATGATGATTATAGAAAACAATATGGTGTAATTTTTATTGGATATTCTTTTTGATTATATTATAGAAGTATTTTTGTGATGGAGATTGGTATTATGGGGTTGATAATAATATGTTATTTTATAGGTTTATTTGATTTGGTTAGGGTAATTGTTATGTGGGAAATTGGTATTGATTTTTGTATATTATGATTATTTTTATTTTATTTAGTTTATTTTGAGATTTATACATATTGATTTGTGTATATATTTTTTTTTTTAATTTGTTTTTATTTTTTTTAGTTGGGGTATGGATTTGTGTATATGTAATGGATTTATGGGGTATGATAACCGAAGCTGTTGCTTGGTTAAAGTACCGAAGGCTACTTAACGCGAAATTTTGTGAGAGATTGAACGAATGATTTGTTTATGTGTTGTTTGTTTATTTTTTTGGTTATGTTTTTTTTGTATTTTTTTGTTTATTTGTTTTTGTGAGTGTTTGGTATGGTTTTATATTTTTGTGATTTTATATTTGGATTTTTTAGATTTTATATTTTTGTTTGTTTATTTGTTGGTTTGTTTATTTGTTTATTTATTTATTTGTTGGTTTTGTTTTTTGTTTGTTTTTGTTTGTGTGTTTTTGTTTGTTGGGTTGTTATTAATTGTTTATTGTCGATTGGTCGTTGTTAGATATTTGTTGTTGTTTATTTATTATTATTTGTTTGTTATTGATTATTTAATGTTATGTATTTGTTGTTATTTCTTTGTTGTTATGTGTTTGTTATTATTTGTTTATTTATATTTGATTTTATTTATTTTTGGTTGTTATTATTCGGTTTTATTTTATATTTATTTTTGTTTGTTTTTATTTACCTTTGCTTCTTTATTTTTATTTGCAATTGATTATTTATTTAGTTTTGTATATTTGGCTTTGCTTGTTTGCCTTTGTTTATTTGTCTTTGCCTATTTACTTCTGCTTGCCTTTGTTTGTTGTTTGTTTGTTTGATTTTATATTTTGTGATATTTATTTAGTTTTATTTCTGTTTATTTATCTTTGTTTATTTATTTCTATTTGCTTCTATTTTTTGTTTGCCTCTGTTATATTTATTTGTTTCTACCGATTTGTCTACTTATTTTTGTCTGTTTGTTTGCTTGTTTGCTTACTTGTTTGCTGCTTGCCTGCTGTGTTTCTATTTATTTAATACAAATTATTTTGTTTATTTTGTTTATTTGTTTGTTTCTGCTTATTTGTTTAATTGTCTCTATCTTGGATATCTTTCTTATTTTGTTTTGCCTATTTTGTTTATTTATTTTGCTTGCCTTATTTATTTATTTTGTTTTGCTTATCTGCTTTGTTATTTGGCTTTTCCAAATTGAATTAGCAAATTTATATTAACCTTTATTCATGAAATATGTATTTAATATGTATTTTTATTTTATAAATTGATATATTTTAAATTTATCTTTTATATATTTAAAATTATATTAATAAATGTAATATTATTTTTTACTCAAATTTTATTTATTTTTATATTGTATATTTATATATATTGATTTATATTAATATTATTAATTAAATATATTCTTTTTTATAAATTATATTATATATTTAATTTATATTAGATAATATATTATTGTAAATGTTTATAAATGAAATTTATATTATATTAAATTGAATATAATTATCTTAGATTATACATATATATTATAATCGATATTATATTATATAATTTGAAAACTATATATACATTAATCGTATTAATCCGGAGCACTAAATATATATATCCTCTGAATTGTATTGGTTTTTTACTTATTTAATTACAATAAGTATAATAAATTTAATATAACAATAATAAATAAACAGTATAATTTTTAAATATATATTAATTAATATTCTATATATAGATAAAATTAATATAAATTTAAATAAACAAAAATTAATTTAACAATTATCTTTAATTACAATTTATATTTCCAACCTATTATTTCATCCAATATTATTCTCAACACGTTCTATTATAAGATTTATATATTTAGAATTATTTAAAAAAAATAAAAAAAAATATACAATTTACATTATTTCCAATATTTAAATTATTTATAAAATATATTTAAATTATTAATATGTATATTTATTTATATGATTTATATTATATAAAAGAAAATAATAAACCACATATCATTCTCTAAATTAAAATATATAATGCATATCTCGTAAACAAATTATTCTATATATATTATTATATTTTATAGAAATTATATAATATAATTAATATAATTTTAAACATATATAGCATAAATATATATATATATTATAATTATATATATATATTATAATTATATATATATTATAATTATATATATATATTATAAGTACATATGTATATATATACTAATATATTTATATTTTTCAATTATATCTACTTATAATTGATAAATCCATTATATATTACTCATTATTTTCTAATAAAGTATATATATATATATAGAATAGTAATAAAAAAGAAAGAACAATAACATACCAAATATATATATATATATATACCCCTAAACAATTAATACACATTTACTATAAATATTAATAATGTAAATAAATGTGATAATAATAAATATAATTAGTCAAAAACAAATAATCTATATTATTTTTCTTTTACATTTTCTCTCTCTTTTTTCTTTCTCCCCATATCTCCCATTATGTCTACTTCTTTCTTTTTCTATGCTAAGCCGATTTTAACCGCCTTAAACTATGTTAATCTATATCGAGCCGCATTGAGCGAGACTTAGCTCGCACGAAGCCCCATTATGTTACCCTATGCTAATCCGTACCAATTTACATATATTAAAACGAAAAAAATCGCTTTAAGCTACGACAAATAATCCATACTAAATCATATCATTCCATCTTAATTTAATTCTTTCGGAATATTGAATATAATTTAAAAATAGAAAAATATAGCAAATTGGGCGGGGAATTTAATAAATCTATATGAAATTATTATATATTTTATTAAATCTTATTAATATATATTAATCTATCCTAAATTTCATTATATCACGATATTCTACAACACTTAGGATTTAGTTAGACTAATCTAAATATTTGTCTAATAAAATTACTTGTTATATGTGTTTTACCTAAATACTTCAATATAGTTTACAAAAAAATGAAATTAATAGTAAAGTCTTAAATTATTATTTAATAAGTAGTTTTTATTAATCAAATGAATAATATATTAATAATGTAAATATATTTAAATGTTGTTCCAAATAAATAAACAAATATATATATATATATATATATTTCTTTTTAAAAATATATAAATATTGTTGAAATATATATAACATGTTTTTTCGACTTCTCGATATGTTTTCCGATTTTGAACATTTTTTTAAATTTCTCGATATGTTTCTTAGTTTTACTTAAAACTACCTTTTAAACGCAGGACTTTAAGATACATATCGATACAGCGTTTCTTTTTGTTAGCTGCCAGCTGGTATTCCCACACATATTCTATTTGGATGTCGGACGCTTGTGGATGCCATGGGTAATCACATTAGTCCTATGGAAAAAGATGGTGGGCATATCTCGCAATTTAGCATTCTAAAAATTAATACTCTCCTAGACCCACAAACGATAATTAAAGGGATTTCTGCCGTTTAAAATATATTTATTTTTCCGCTGAATCCCAAAATTAAAGACCTTAGATATATTCGTATAAACCTTCTTAAAACGTTTCTTCTCAGCAGGGGTCAATACTTTCTTCTCACACGTATAATTGCACCGTTAAAATTAATCCACCACGAAATGCCTACTGCTCTTAAAACTAGTTTAAAAGGATTTATACTTCTTAATACGGATCGTAAAATAATAAATGTCATCGTGCAGAAATGCATCCGGGTTAATTTTGACCATGCTCAGGGGCGCTTTCACCACAAAGACCTTGTCGGGCAAGTTCTCATTAATTAGATACTCTTTAACGGCTCAAACCCTACGCGAATCTGGACTTAGGACGAATTGCCATCCTTCAGGCCGATTTTGGGGCACGTCCCTCTATCTATCCTTGTTCGCACAGATTTATGCGCGCTACTCCTTTTAGCCCTTCTTCTTCTTTGGCCGTCCCTTGAGCCCCATAGTACGGGACGGCTCCAAATCATTATTAAGACGACGATAATCACCGAAATAACCTTCGAAATTCAACACCTTAACCGTAATCGGGATAGAGAAAACGAAGATATCTTTGTCCAAAAGGATGATCTAAGTGGGGTTATCCATTGCAAATTTCACGACCTAAATAGGTATCCGGTTTGGGAACGCATACCCTTCGAGCGCGTATATTAGGCGCTGCCGGAAGTATTTTCTGCATAACGCCGTCAGGATTACGCGGGTTATGCGTAAGACGAATGTTTGCTTCCTGCCTAAGTGTAAGGTTACCGCATAAGAATCGAAAGAAAGATAATTCTAAGTATTTGATTAAAAAGCTAAAGCTACCTATAACCATGTAAAAATACAACATATTCATTTTCTTTTACTCCGTCCTCGTAGGCAAAGGCCTATATCCTGAAGTGTTTTATATTACATTTTTTTTTTTACCACTTGTACAATTTCATTTGTAACAACCACCAATTTAGTTAAATTTTCATTTCGTCTCAATATTATATCCTCCTTATATATACTATATTTTTGCAACAATGAATCATAAATAATCATTTTATATTCGTATTATATTAATCCGAATCCAAACCATAACCAAACTCGAATATATCACCCATATAGCCTCGTCTTTCTCGATTAACACATCCTCATCCATCCGCATTAACTACGACTTCCTTGCGATTATTATCCTCTTCCAAATCAATACAAATTGCACCACTAAACAACTAACGACAAAAAACCTTAGCTTTACGGAAACCATCTAGACGTCCTCCTTCCACTCCCTTTTTATACACACACAATCTTTCTCTTTGATCTCCATGGCTCCACGTCTCCAAAAAGTCCTCGTCGAATCTAGGAATATATCTTCGCCTAGTACTCGTCCTCCTTATATTTTCTCAAGCGGTTTGCTATAATAACAAATTCCCATTCCTGCTCCAACTACACCTACGAATCGAAATCGGGAAACAAGTGCTTCGAGCCCTCCTTAAACAGGACATATGTCTTTTTGCCATACTAAATCAAAACAACTATGCCCTCGATATGCTTTCGGGCCATTTTGTTAATGTTAATTAGCGTTACACTCTCAGCAAAAGCAAACCGCACCAGGTCGAAAAATTTCTTCAAACAAATCTCCTCCGTAAAATATTCTGGCATTGCCATATCTATATCATATATGTAATCCGCCACAATTCCTAGCTCATGTTAGACCCACTTCGATACGCTCCATCCTATCCAACACATCGATTTATATAGACCAACACCAAGGAACGCCTTAATCGTCTTCATACTAAGCTTACAAGTCCGGGCCAGGACGCCATCTGCCGCCAAATTGCGCAACATTATTTCCACCGAGCCTAGGGACCAACCAAAAATGGGAGAATCTACATTAGCTGCTTAATCTGCCACCCAAACTACTACGTACCAAAAAATAAACAAGAATTCTAAATTCAAAACCGATTTCCTCCTCTAGGAAAATAAAATGTTACCAATCACGAACCCAATCTTATATTCATTAACGAATATCTATATCTTCGTAAGCCCATACACCCACCTAAATATTAAGCTCCCCGCGAAATCAATAATAAAATCAAAATGATAGAGAAATGAATTATCGATCTAGTTAAATTCCTCCATAGCGAAATCGAAATATTAAACAACCCTTTAATTATTTCTAAGAGCAAAATCAAAATAAATAAACATTTCACAATCTTCTTAAAATCCTCATAACATATTTCTTCTACTACCATCTTAACCAAAATAAAAATAAAATTATTTTAATATAAAATATAAATAAATAATATATTCTAACCAAAATAATAATATAAATCATAATCAAATATATATATATATATATTCAAAAATCATATTCATTTTATATAAAACATATTCATCAACCAAATTAATATAAACACAATATAAATAAACATCAAACAAATATAATAACAAAACCACAAAAATACACACAAAAAAAAAAAACAATCGCCCCAATTCGGACAAAATACCACTACAATAATTTTACAATGCACGAAAAATACAATCCCAAAGCCATATCAATTAATAAATATATTTTAAATAAATATAAATATATTTTTCCTCCAAATTCCACCAAATCAGGTATATAATAGATCCGATATTTGTAATTATATCTTATTTCATTATTATAAATCCAATTTTCAAAATTATTCCTTTGGCCCCTAGAGAACCATATATTTGTTAGCCTGAACCCAACACAAGCTCAGTCCAGCTCGGAGGTGACGGTGGCACTGATAACACTGGAAACAGCGCTAAATGCTGCAAGCATACCTTAGACTCACGTCGCAGCACATACGCAAAGCACCACAAGTATGCTCGTGACTTGTCGAAACAATCAAATCAGATTTGTCAGATACGCTGAAGGATTCTAATGTTAAAAACAAGTCGCACAGGATGCCAACTCCCAGCACCACGGAAGGCATGCCCTCACCATCCGCCGCCATGGCGGCTGTTGGTGTCAGGAGTGCCGCTGGCACCGCGGCGCTGGCAGCGATCTCGAGGGGCGTCCCTCGGAGCTGTGCCTGTGGGGCTGGGGCACTGAGGAAGGCCATGCTGCATCGGAGCGCCAGGCATGCGGCGATCGCCACGCAAAGAGTCATCAGGGTGGACGAGCGTGCCATGGCTAGGTCTTCAGGCTGCAGACTACGGCAAACGTCGCTCTTCCCTGAACTGAGCGAGCCAAAGCGCCGAGTATGCTATCATATGAGCTGGTGAACATACCCGTCTTTGCACAACTCCAACAATATACAACACTAGAGTATATACCTCAAACCAGCACACATTGTTGCTGATTGTAACGAATGAAAGTGAAAGAGTCAGAGTCCAAAAACTACAGCTCAAGCCGTGGCAAGAGAGTGAATTCCAATCACTATCAACCGCATCAAATGAATATCATCAAGCAATCTGTGGTTCGAGGAGTGCCACCTGCAAGTAGGCAGCCGGGCCATTTCATTGGATGGTCGCAGGCTTCTTGACTCAACCAACCGGAGAAACTTCAACTTGACTAGCAGTGACGCATCAGAGTCACACAACCACCCCGCGACCGCAGGCTCAGTCCAGCTCAGAGGTGACAGTTGCGCTGATGACGCTGGAGACGGCACTAAAGGCTGCCAGCATGCCTCAGGGTTGCACAGTTTCGTGACAACACCTACTCTTGCAGTAGAACATCCACACCAACAGGCGTCGTGTAAAAGGGCGGCACGAGTCAGGCGGAGTTTGATATTTGCAGTGGGCTTGGATGGTCAGAAAAAATCAAGGCGAGGCACACAGGATGCCAACTCCCAGCACCACGGAAGGCATGCCCTCACCATCCGCGGCCATGGCGGCTGTTGGTGTCAGGAGCGCCGCTGGCACCGCGGCGCTGGCAGCGATCTCGAGGGGCGTCCCTCGGAGCTGTGCCTGTGGGGCTGGGGCACTGAGGAAGGCCATGCTGCATCGGAGCGCCAGGCATGCGGCGATCGCCACGCAAAGAGTCATCAGAGTCGACGAGCGAGCCATGGCTGTCAACTTCAGCTACCGTCTTGCACGCAGGGAGCAATGTCGCCACTCTCTTCGAGCCTTCAATCGAGAGATGCAGGACAAAGAATTGTCATGTCCACTTGAGTTCTACTAAAAGCATGCTTAGATGGGTAGTAACAACAACCTACTGAAATGGCCGACGAGAGTTTTGGGCGCTGCTTTGAGCAGTTTTTTTGGTGTATCGGCCCTATACACTGGCAGCCATGCGCAGGTGTGCAAAACCGTGGAAGGGTGCCTACGCAAGCCTACGTGCCTACGCGGACTGCCTACGCAGACTTTTCGCTGCTCACAAGTCATAACACCAAGTTTGTGCAAGGTAAAACACGCCTACGCGAACCTTCCCACACCAGAATTGCCCACGCAGTGCCTCCGCAACATGAAAGGAGTTCCCCCCGATTAGTAAGAGAATACATCGCAACAAAAACAAACCTCTGCTCATTTGACCTCATAAACATCTGCACTGTTCCCACGCTGGCGTCCATGTCTTCATCTGAATGTATCCAACATCCCTAAAAACAGCACTATCATCGAAATCATGTTCATCATCAACAACAATAACATCATCAACAGCAACATCAACATCATCGACATCAACAATAACATCATCATCATCATCATCAACAATAACATCAAATCATCATCAAATCATCATCAAACCATCATCAAACCATCATCAAACCATCATCAAACTATCATCACACCATCATCACACCATCATCACACCATCATCAAACCATCACCATCACCATCACCATCACCATCACCATCACCATCACCATCACCATCACCATCACCATCACCATCACCATCACCATCATCATCATCATCATCATCATCATCATCATCATCATCATCATCATCATCATCATCATCATCATCATCATCATCATCATCATCATCCCCCACAACAAGCACAACGCCCCAGCAATCTCCAGCATCCTTAGTTCCAACTTAGCCACATCACGTTTTCCAGCAAATGTCTTGCGGAAAGTCGGGAAAAAACATCCGCTGCTGGCGCGCGCCTTGCAGCCAATCGACGCAGCACTCAAACGGCTGAGAAAAGTTTAATCCAGCTCGGAGGTGACGGTTGCGCTGATGACGCTGGAGACCGCACTGAAGGCTGCCAGCATGCCTCAGGGCCGAGTCAAAGCTTCGTTCAACGCTTAATCAAGATGGGTTCATGTACATGGGCGGCACGAGTCAGGCGGGATATTTGCAGTGGGCTTCGATGGTCAGAAAAAATCAAGGCGAGGCACACAGGATGCCAACTCCCAGCACCACGGAAGGCATGCCCTCACCATCCGCGGCCATGGCGGCTGTTGGTGTCAGAAGCGCCGCTGGCACCGCGGCGCTGGCAGCGATCTCGAGGGGCGTCCCTCGGAGCTGTGCCTGTGGGGCTGGGGCACTGAGGAAGGCCATGCTGCATCGGAGCGCCAGGCATGCGGCGATCGCCACGCAAAGAGTCATCAGAGTCGACGAGCGAGCCATGGCTGTCAACTTCAGCTACCGTCTTGCACGCAGGGAGCAATGTCGCCGCTCTCTTCGAGCCCGAGCTTCTGCAGCCATCTTTGCCACAAACTATCCTTCAAGTCGTGTGATGTCGAATTCAGGGCTCAGGCACAGATTTGCAGGATTGCGGGTTCAACAGTCAGGCAAATTGGGCTGATAGTTGGCTTACAATATGTGATCACCGAAGAGCTTGTCAAACAAGCACCTGGTTCCTCTTTCTAGGAAATTCAAGCACTCCCACAACTTTCGAGCATATATCCATGGACATGCTGAGATCCACGTCTCTGACATGCACACCGTATCACGCCTGTTTTCCAGCACCAGATTGGTCGCCGAAGCGTTCGTTGGGAAAAAAGTAGCTGCTGCAAAGCTGCTGCTGTGTTAGTGCTGGAACATACCAATTGAGGGCTCCCAACTCCCCACCACCTTACCAGCCTGCCAGCTCAGTCCAGCTCAGAAGTGACAGTTGCGCTGATGACGCTGGAGACGGCACTGAAGGCTGCCAGCATGCCTCGGGGTTGCACAGTTTCGTGACAAAAGCTACTCTCGCAGTGGAACGTGCAAATCAAATGGGCGGCACGGTCAGGCGGAGTTTAATATTTGCAGTGGGCTTTGATGGTCAGAAAAAATCAAGGCGAGGCACACAGGATGCCAACTCCCAGCACCACGGAAGGCATGCCCTCACCATCCGCCGCCATGGCGGCTGTTGGTGTCAGGAGCGCCGCTGGCACCGCGGCGCTGGCAGCGATCTCGAGGGGCGTTCCTCGGAGCTGTGCCTGTGGGGCTGGGGCACTGAGAAAGGCCATGCTGCATCGGAGCGCCATGCATGCGACGATCGCCACGCAAAGAGTCATCAGAGTCGACGAGCGAGCCATGGCTGGGTCTTCAGGGTGCAGGCTACGGCAAAGGTCGCTCTTTCTTTGACAAAATCCTGCAAACCAAACAAAGCAGCAAATGCATCGCAAGGCTCAGACTTCCTTCGATGTCAGCATCCGGAACATCGCCTCCAAATGTTGAAGACCTGCTCAAAGTTTGAGCAAGACTTATTGGTGTATATCTGTATATCAATGCAAAACACAATGTGTACTGGTATCTTAGATATATTAGTAGGAACATGAGCTCAAGGCACTGAGGTACAATCACACATTGGCGGTATGGTTGTCCATCAGGCAAAGCGGCCAAACATCTTTTCTCGTGGAAGCTTTAAACAAAGTGACAACAGAAGCCAGACTATGACCAACCTCTGCACATCTCAGGGAGCATTGTCTGCCATAACTGCATGATTTTGCAAATCCATCCAATGCCAATGGCATCCAATGGCTTACAATGCGTGATGACCGTGGCGCCGAGAAACAAGCACCTGGTTCCTCTTTCTAAGAAATTCAAGCACTCGCGCGACATTCGAACACATATCCATGGGCATGCGGTAATCCACGTTTCTCACATGTGCACCTTATCTGCGTGCTGCGCTCCAAGGTGCGCGCCTGTTTTCCAGCACCAGATTGGTCGCCGAAGCGTTCGTTGGGGAAAAAAGTAGCTGCTGCAAAGCTGCTGCTGTGTTTGTGCTGGAACATACCAATTGAGGCCCACCACCTTACCAGCCTGCCAGCTCAGTCCAGCTCAGAAGTGACAGTTGCGCTGATGACGCTGGAGACGGCACTGAAGGCTGCCAGCATGCCTCGCGGTTGCACAGTTTCGTGACAAAAGCTACTCTCGCAGTGGAACGTCCAAATCAAGATGGGCTCATGTAAATGGGCGGCACGGTCAGGCGGAGTTTGATATTTGCAGTGGGCTTCGATGGTCAGAAAAAATCAAGGCGAGGCACACAGGATGCCAACTCCCAGCACCACGGAAGGCATGCCCTCACCATCCGCAGCCATGGCGGCTGTTGGTGTCAGGAGCGCCGCTGGCACCGCGGCGCTGGCAGCGATCTCGAGGGGCGTTCCTCGGAGCTGTGCCTGTGGGGCTGGGGCACTGAGAAAGGCAATGCTGCATCGGAGCGCCATGCATGCGGCGATCGCCACGCAAAGAGTCATCAGGGTGGACGAGCGAGCCATGGCTGGGTCTTCAGGGTGCAGGCTAAGGCAAAGGTCGCTCTTTCTCTGACAAAATCCTGCAAACCAAACAAAGCAGCAAATGCCGTCGCAAGGCTCAGACTTCTTTCGATGTTACCATGGGAACGTAGCCACCCAGTGTCAGCTCCAAAATGTGTCTTCAACACACAGACATCCTTTCCCTTGCCGTCACAGCAAAAAGCCTGCAGCTTGTTTGCAGTGGCTAACTGGGCATTCGCGTGCGCTGCTGGGCCCTTTCTCTCAGAATCCGTTTCCGTCGCGTTGATTGAGATGCGCCAAGGCTCGGCTCATCTTATCCTGGCGCGACGTCTGAGCCTTTGAGAGTTGAGGGCCAACATTTGATCTGTGTTTATGATAAGCTTGTCCAAACTGGCTATGTTTGAACTGGCGTGTAGAGACCAAACACTTGGAGAGGCTCTTAATGCACGGCCCATTTCTTGCCCCTACAAACATGACAAGCTCCAAATGAAAGGTCATGAGCACCAGTGGCTTCTAACACCGCTCATGAACGCCTCTTGGCTGTTCGAATTGCACGCAAACTTCTGAGAAGCCTGCAGCCTGTGAATGCAACTCCCAGTCAGCAGTCAGCAGCTCTGCGACTCCAAACATTCCCAGCCTCGCGCTTTCGCTTACGCCGCGGCTGCTCAGCCTGCAAGTACAGGCTGAAAGTGGCCAAAGGCTGCCCTAGGAACGACCAGCTGAAAACAATACTTCTGAATACATTCGCCACCCCAAGCTCGTTTGCACAGGTGGGTCACAGGGGGTATATCCTTTTGCTGATCGAATATCAGGGGAATAAGCTAAGGATGTTTGGAAGGCAGGAATCCAAATCAACCCCAAAGTATTGTGTGTAGAGAACTAAGTCATTCCGCCCAGCAAGTTTAATTATACTTGCATTTCACCGCGTTTCGAGCGCATTTCATCATGCATGTTCAGCGCGTTTCATCGCGTTGCGCCATCTTGTTTCTCAGTGCGTTTCGCTCACATTCCGCGGTTTGTGGAGCCAGGAACAGGTCATTCAGCCGGGCTGCAAACATCCAATGAAGCGCTGCCCGGAACGGAACGCCGAAAATACCCTCACTGTCACATTTTGCCAACGCTCTTCTGTCTTCTAATTTCGTTGAAGCGCTTTGCACACATATGTTGCTTTGCCGGCTCGGCAAAAAGCAAAAGCACAGGCTGCGGGCCTCCAAGCGCTTGCTAGGCAAAACGTTACAAAATTCTATGTGAGGGCTGCCCTCTTGCTTTAGTTACCACCGCCAGAACGCATTTTGTTTTGTTTTGTACGAGTCGCATTTGGGGGCCCTCAGAAAGCAAAATAGCATGGAATACCCTGTCAAAAAGGCAAAACAAAATCTGTCTGCCTGGTCAGGCCCTTTCTGTGACAAATTGTCCCAACGATCCCAGCAGCTTCATTAGCGCCAAAACAATCCGCCAAAAATACTCCAATGTGCCGCGGAGCGCCAAAGAACATCAGCGTCATGGCAGAACTCAAGTCAGTCTCACTGGCGTGAAACACGAACCGGTCCCTCAGCCTCTCATTGAGGCAGCAAAGGCATATCATCGTCTTTCAGACTTTGGGCCCTTTGGAGAAGTCATCTGCCCCCCACCTTGTACAGCAAGCTTACCAGATCTTGCCAGCAAACTACAACTGATTCTGCAACATGCCGTAGGAGCCTGCCTCTGCGTGAGTTGCAGCCTTTGCCACTGATTTGGGCTCGGGCACCTGCAAAGGGCAAATCCGCGCAAACGCAACAAGTGCATACACAAGGACCAGCGCAAACGTGGCAGCTCCAGGCTGTCAACGGAGTCATGCCCAAAGAATTCTCGGGCAGGTGTTGTTGGACAAATCCTGCTGGCAAGCTCCCTGTGGAAAGATCCGCTTGGAAAACAGTTCCTGCGAGGACGCTGCACAAATGTTTGTTCCGTCTGAGAGGGACAAGGAATGACTCAAGCTAGTCTGTAGGGTGAGCAAACAACATGCGAAGGATATGGCTTCTTCCCAGCACGCTGCTCATGACTCCCGAACACCAAACACTCAGCAACTAGGTCCACACACTTTGCAAAGCTCACACAACTAGATTAAGTTTGAACATGCGCAAAGCACCGATGCCCGTAAACATGCCAAATATGCAGAAACACATATCAACCCGTTGGTTCTACTGATGCCGCAATGCCTTGCCGCTTGACTGCAAGCGGCACTCGTGCTACACCTTCAGTGGGTAAGGCTTGCTTTCAGCCGCTCAATCCTCTCATCGATCCACTGAGTCATAGTCGGCCCTTAGCGCTGATTAAAAAAGACGGGGGCCACACACCGCAACTCAACCACAAACCTCACCGGAGGCAGCCGAGCCGGCAAAGTTCTGAATCAGGAAAACGTGCCCTCTGCACTGACTTCTTCAAAAGCCAAACCCGTCCAATCTGCCAGCAAAGCGACCAGCAGATTTCGTCAAGTGGGGCTCACATCGTCAAATGCCGGCAGGTGCCTGAGACACAGCCTTCGCCGCTGCTTTGGGCTCGGGCACCTGTGAGGGGCATGCATTCCCCCCTTCCTTGGGCTCAACCTAAAAACTCCCAACGATCCCAGCAGCTTCATCAGCGCCAAAAAATAATCCGCCAGAAATACTCCAAAGTGCCGCGGAGTGCCAAAGATCAGCGTCATGGCAGAATTCCAGTCAGTGGAGGCTCGGCGCTGCGCGCGGAAAACGTGCGAACCCCGCAGAGCGGAAAAAAACAACCAAATGTGCGGAAAAACAAAGCACAGTCTCTGCGGAAAAAGCGGACCCCTCCTGAAAGGGGGCCGTGATGAAGGTTGTCTTGGGGATCCGCTTTTCGAGCTGGAATCCGGCATTCCAGCTCGAAAAGCGGATCCCCAGCCAATCCCTCCTGAAAGGGGGCCGTGATGAAGGTTGTCTTGGGGATCCGCTTTTCGAGCTGGAATCCGGCATTCCAGCTCGAAAAGCGGATCCCCAGC